TTTTACAGTTATGTAAAGTACTGATATACAAAACACTATTTCTTCAAATATTTTCATATTGGCTGTATAAATGCCAAATAGGCCTATCATTTTTATTCAATAGTAGAGAGATTTTGTTAGCATCCAGGACCATAGGAATTTCTTCCTTCAGATTTTGACTCATTTTGGGCACACATGGCTATGATTTAAACAAAGCCCTACATTTCCCTTTAAGAAATGTATTGTTTGAAACAGTTTGCTGGTGGTGTGTGTTAGTGGGTTTATTTGACTTACAGACCTTGTGTACCAACTCATGTGTTTCTGATTTTAATAGAGTAACCAGACTAAATATAGGATACCCAGTTATAATTGGATTTCAAATAAACAATAAATAATTTATAAGATCCAATTTTTTCAAAATGTTATGGATTGTTCTTTTAGTATTAATATCTAAGAACTTTTGTCTTACACAGTTTATGCTGATTTTGTTTTTTTCCCTGAAACTTCATAGATACGTATTTATATCTGATTAAAAAAAGCTCGTGTTATTTCCTTTTTGCATATGAATGCCTCATTTTTTTCCAGTACCATATTTTCAGAAGACTGTTATTTTCCCATTGAATTCCTTCTGCACTATACACAACTAAGTTATATGGGTTATTCCATTAAGTTATATGTGGATCTGTTTCTCTATTCTTGTTCTGCTCCATTTAGATATTGATATATTCTTTTGCCAATTCCATATTATCTTGATTAATGTAAGTCTTGAAATTGGGTTTTAGATTTCCTCCAACTTCATTCTGCTTTTTCAGAATTGTTCTGGCTATTCTAGTCTTGTCTTCACGTACAGATTTTTAAATAAACTTGGAATTGACCAAAAATTGTTCTGGGGTCTTAGGATATCCTGTGCTGCTATAACAAAATAAACACTCAGGTTAACTTATAAACAACCAAAATTTATTTCTGGAAGCTGTAAAGTCCAAGATCAAAGTCTGTCAAGAGCTTGTGTGGTGTCATCCTATGGCAGAAAGCAAGAGAATCAATGAGAGGCCAAAACAGGCCAAACTTGTCCTATTATAAAAAAATCCACTCCCATTATAATAAACCCACTCCAATAACAATGACATGAATTCAGGAGACTATAGCCCTCAAGATCTAATCACATTTTTAAGGTCCCTCCTGACTCTATCACAAAGGCAATTAAATTTCAAGAATTTGGGAGAGCACATTCACATAGCAACTGGGAACATGAATTAGCTCTCCAATTTAGATTTTATTTTCTTTCAACACTGTTTAGCTTTTAGCACAATGAACTTGCACATATTTTGTTAAATTAATACCTTATTACTTCATTTTTGTACAACTATAACTAACATTTAAAACAAATGTTTTAAACTTCAAATGGTCATGCTTTATGAATAGAAACACAATTGACTTTTGAATATTGACCTATAATTTTCAACCTTGATAGACTCACTAGTAAGTTCTAAGAGATATTTTGTATGGTCACTGGGATGTTCTACATTGACAACCATGACATGTAGATAGAGATGGCTCTCTTTCTCCCTTTCCAATCTGGGTCATTTTGCACTGGATAGTACTTCCAGGACAATGTTATATTGGGGAATTAGGATAGGATGTTCTCTCCTCATCCAACAAGGGAACAAGTTTTCAATTACTCTTGTTTAAAAATATGTTAGTAGTGGGTTTTTGCTTATTGCTCTGTGAGGTTAAGGTAATTTCTCTGTGTTTCATGTTTGCTGAGAGATTTCATCATAATTTAGATACTAAATTTATTAAATGTCTTTTCTTCATCTATTAAACTGATTATCTGCTTTTATATTATTGTGAATTATATTTATTGACTTTCACATTTTGAACCAACCTGAATTCACTTGTTCACAGAAAATTCTAATTTTTATATATAGCTAGAGATAATTTGGCAATTTTTAGTTCTGGTTTTTACATCTATCTTCATGAGGAATATCACTCTGTTTCCTTATTTTTATTTTAACTTATTTTGTGGGTTAATATCAGGATAAATTAGATCTCATAAAATGATCTGTGATATCTTCTCTATATTTCATTATTTAACTATTCCTATAGATATTCTGTATAATTAGTTTTAATTCATCTTCATTTTTTTTTTAGTCCACCAATATAACTACCCTGGCCTGGAGAATTTTTTTTCTCAGATTATCAGCTACAGATTTCCTTAACAAATAAATATAGGGCTATTCAGAATATGTAGTTCTTCCTGATGGAGATTTGATACTTTATTTGTGTACCAATTCACTTTGTATTAAGTTGCCAAATTTATATTCATAGAGTTGTTTATCATTTCCCCTTGTTTTTTTATTTAATTTCTGTGGGATTAGTAATGTTATCCCCTCTTTCATTCCTGAAATGGTTTGTATCTTCTTATTTTCTTAGCTACCATTGCTAGAGGTTTATCAATTTTAACTGCACTTTTAAGAAAGACTTTTATTTTCTCTATTGCTTTCCTATTGTCAACTTTATTTAAATCTGCTTTAATTTTTAATTACTTTTTTCTGTCTTTAGGACATATGCTGTGTAATTCCAAATACTTGGGGTTTATCCAGATATCTTTCTATTATTTATTTCTAGTTGAGCATATGGTTCAAGACCAAACGTTTAATGATTTCAAATATTTAAAATTATTTAAGGATTGTTTTGTTTTATAGTTTAGAATTAAGCCACCTTGGTTTACATTTCATATATGTTTGTGAAAAAAAAATATATTCCCGTCTGGTTGGAGAATTATATAACTTTCTATTAGGTTAATTTATTTGATATAAATTTCATCTTTCCTCATTGATATTCTGCCTATTTGTTCTATCAGTTACCAAAATAGAGTGTTAAAGTCATCAGTACTGATTGTCAATTTAACTAGTTCCCCTTTTGGATCTATCATTACTTACATATTGTTGAAGCTCTGTTGTCTTGAACACAGGCATTTATGATTGTCCCTGGACTACTGGCCCCTTTATCATTATGCAATGTCTCTATCTCTAATCATCTTTCCTGATCTGAAAACTATTTCATCTGAAATAATATAAGGAATCCAGTTTTCTTTTTCTTTAGAGTTTGCATGGCATATCTTTCTCATTTTTTAATTTTAATTCCTTTATGTGTTTATATTTAAGTAGTTTTCTTATAGCCAGTATTAAGTTGGTCTTGCTTTATTTTGTTTTATTCAATTTGATAATCTATATTTTTAACTGGTATTTTAGACTATTCCCATTTTAAATATTTGTTGATAGAATTGGATTGAAACCCACTCTGGTCCCTTTTATATTTGTTGTATTTGTTTGTTTTTACATTTCACCCTTCAAGGTATTTAATTTAGAAATTTTAATATTCCTCTTTATTGCCTTTCCTGATTTATTTTCACTTCTTAAAAGAGCTTTTCATCGGTTGTCCTAGGGTTTAGAATATACATTTTTGAATTATCTGAATTCATCTTCAAATAGTACTTTAATATGTCATATCTAGATAAGGAGCTGTTAATAAAATTTCTATATTATTCTTATCCCTTATGCCAATTAGTTTGCTTTCCAAAGGATATAAATTCCATTATATTTTTACTATATTTGAATTATACAATTAGTTATCTTTTAGAGCAATTAAAATAAGATACAATTCAGATTTTAATTTTTAATTTATTTGCTAAAGATGCTTTTCAATTTCTTCTTTCTTTCTTTTATTTTTTAATTTTTGGGGTATAGTCGCACCTTCCTGATCTATATGGGTTACTCTGTTCTGTTCAAACATTAAATGTTTCTTACATATTAATAAATTGGGGAGGAACAGAAGATCTATTTCTTAAAAATTTGAGAATGTATCCCTCCTTCATTTAACTAGTTCCCCTTTTGGGGAACATCTATCTTTTGTACTGACTACACCATGTGATGGTCTCTACCATAAGATTCTCCCCAGAGCTAAAAAGATGCTAGTGCCGTGTTCTTGGACCTATAAAACTATTAGATAAACATATCTCTTTTTTCCTTTTACAAATAACCCAGCCTCAGATATTATGTTGTAGCTAATTAAATGTTTTCTAAGACATCCATCAAAGGTAGAGGGTTCTTCTCCACCACTTTCAGCGGGTTTCCACAAATGCCCAAAGGCTACATTTGTGTTGCTTTTCCCTGGAATGTTAAAGCTTTAATTTTGTAGGGAAGATGGATGGATGTAGGGTGGAGTTTAAATAGGTTTTTCCTGTTTTCCTCTGATCAGCAACAGATGGAAAGTTGTTCAGAATTTTCCAGGTTGAGTTCTTGAAGTAAAGAACTGCAAAAGAACACTTATATTTGCTCTCCCCAAGCTTCTATATTCATACATTAGCTTATATACAAACCAGCAATTTGTTTAAAGGTTCTAGGTAAATCTTATTGTGAGTTTGTGTAACATCCTTCAGACTCTTTCCAAAGTAGAAAATATTTTTTAAGCAAATCTTAAGTTGTGTTTTTAAGGATTTGCCCTTGACGTTACTTCTTTTATGGGTTGAGATTAGTCATTAATTTGCAATTTGTTCAGTTTGTTTCTTATGTATTGATGTACATTCCACTTTTTCTAACACTCAGCCACTCAAACAGAAAACCACTTCCATATTTTCAAAGTGCAAATTTGACCATTGAATTTAATAATAAAAACATTTCAGCCATGTTTCATTTGTTAGAAATGATATAAAATTATTAACAAGATCTTTTAGTTCAACCACAATTTGATTTCAACTGTTCAAGAACATGAATCCAAAAATACTCTTCTTATTTTATCATGCATATTTAGGCACCTATGCCTTTGTGCCTCCCGTATTCTTTCCCTCTCTTGATCACAACAATGTGTGGGGACATGGTTATTTTATTGAGCACTGAGAAAAATTATTTTCTAAAAGGAAAGAGTCTAAAGATCATCCATCTTTACAATCTTCATTAAATCTTGTGTATCCAGGCAATCTCTATACTGTATCTCATACTCTGCAACCTTTTTTTCCAGATATGATGGAGCCTGCATTCTCTTATTTTTCTGGATACTGTATACACTTTCTTCTCTTTCAAGTGATGCCATCAACTTCAGGTAAGAATATCTACTTTTTCCCCTACTCAGTCTCAGCTGTGGAAAGAATCTATGTCTTCACATTTTAGTGAGTCTTGAAATTAGCACTTCATTGTAATATCAAGAAAAAGATTGAAAAATGGAATCAGCAACTCTTCTTAGATCCATGAAAAGTGAGATTACAGAGTAAACCACTGCCCCCCATGTTGGAGACACAGACAGAAAGCCATAAGCAGAAACCTCTGGGGAAAACAGTACCAGGATAGGAAAATCTAAACCCTAATTATTCAATTGCTAGAGGTTGTGTGGGCCTGAGTCAAAAACTCCAGAGAAGCCCAGGGCAGGCATGACACTTGTCCCTTTTACTTCCAGTGTTTCTACCAGGTTCTTACAATAAATGATTGGAGAAAATTTCTTTGTGCTTTCAGCAAGGGGAAGAGAAAAGTAATCATTTTGGTACATACTTATCTTAAAAAACATTGTACTCTTACTTTTGTGACTTCGTAAGTTTTGTACGGTATATGATGAATCTATCTTTTAAAACAAAGCAAAAAACCCCCACAAAACATTGTATTCAAGAAAACTATTTTGCAAGAGCCCAACCATTGTAGTTTCATAACCTAAGTAACCCAGGGGGAGGGTAATATCTAACTCCAGGCTCCTCTATCCATCCTGTCCCACTTAAGAGGGAGCAGAATCCAGGGAAGCACTCATGAAGCTCACTGCCCAAGAGCACAGGCTCACCCAAACTGAAACCTAATCAGAGAACAACAGAATGCTTCTTCTCCCCCCAAACTGTGTCACCATCACTAAAAAGCTTTCACCAGAATTCCTCTTACTCAGTACATTATGTTTGGTTTTCAAAAAAAAAAAAAAAAAGGAAGACATACTAAAAGGCAAATCCATAGTTTGAAGAGAGAGAACAAAACCAGATTCAGATATAATGGGGATATAGGAATTATCAGGCCAGGACTTTAAAACAACTATAATTAATAGAACAGATGGATAATGTAAGTAGAGCAATATGAATTCCAAGAATAAAAAAGAAATGTTATAGATTAAAAGAAAGAAATATAAAAATTACTGCCAAGAAATTCTGTCAGGTCACTTTTAGAATTGTATTATTAGCTCTATTGAATATAAACTCTTTCTATGTAAATTTTTTCATATTAATAGAAATTTAGAAAAATAACCAATTTTTTAACAAAATCTGGAGGTCAAAGTAACAAAGATAGCCCAATAAAATAACTTTCTAAAATGTGTTCTATGACTGGGGGTACAAAAATAATTTGTAAGTATTGAAAGATAAGTAGGCTTTATATCAGGAATGTGCAGATGGTTTGGAGCTATCAAATGACCTCATTGTGGCCTAAGATTGAGAGAGCAATCCTGTTGTGGGCTTCAGTGTGTAAAAGGTCTGGCGAAACGTTGGAGGGAGAGACCACCCAAGAGACTGACTCCATGCAATTGGCAAAAGGGGATATTTATTGGGGATCCATTCCAGCGCGCTGGGACTCTGTGCTCACTCAAGAAGGGAGAGCAGCCCAGAGCCCAGAGCAGAGTTCAAGCGGA